GTGGGTTTGGGGTTCTTAAGGTAACCTAATTCCCCTCAAAATCCCAAGGAGTAAGGGCCCCAGCGGCCGGATTCCCATGGAGGCCAACCTAAAGGACCCAAAACCCAAGGCTCGGAAAGCCGAGAGTTTTGGGGGGGGGGGGGGGGTCCTTTCTNNCTTAAGAACCCAAAACCCAGTTTTTTGTAGGTTCTTATTATAAACCCTAATATGGGATTTATAATGACCCTACCAAAAAAGTGGGTTTTGGGTTCTTAAGGTAATTATACTAAGGAGCCACCAAAATATTGTAGGTGTAATTATCAAGGCCCCTACATTAACCCCCTCAAACCTGAAACCAAGCGAAACCATGAAAGGTTCAAGACCCTAAACCCAAAGTCCCGTTCTTACTAGGTAATATAGGGGCCTTAATAATTACCTATACTATTTTGGGGGTTCGCTGTTATAGTTATAGCACAATATACACCCAAACTCCATTCTAACTACTACGGACTCTACATTATGTCAAAGCATACCTAGACTTTGAACCCTAGGGTTTATCTACTCTCTAAACACCTTATTTCATATCCGATAAAACCTTGATGCTCCCCGTCAAACCCCATGAACCCATATGAAACCTTACGGTAAAACCCTAACCCCCCCTTTAACCTATACCTTAAGAACCCAAAACCCACTTTTTTGCAGGTTCTCATTATAAACCCTAATGAGGGATTTATAGGAACCCTACAAAAAGTGGGTTTGGGAATCTTAAGGTAATCCTCCATAAAACAGCATGACACCCTGTGAAATCGGACAAGGATTAACCTCGGCCACGAACTGCAGCGCGGAGGCATGGCTTTGGACCGCCTGCGGCGACAGGCGTGTGCAGGCTTTACGCGGGATTGCCCTAGACCCTGACCCTAAACCCTAAGCCCTAAACCCTGACAGTTTCTGGTTTAGGGCGTAGGGCTCCAGGGTTGGAGGGTTTAGGGTTCAAAGGGAGGTTTTAGGAATTGGAGTATTGGGTCGGAGGCTTAGGGTTTGCGGATTTAGGGGGCCTACACCTTACACTGTGTGAGCTCTGGGTAATAGGCGCACTCCATAAGTCCTGTGTCGCACGGTCCGTTATCGCTTTCAGTGCCTTTGTAAGCTCTGGCGGATAAACGAAACCCTAAACCCTAAACCC